ACGCATTGCTTCGTGTGCAGGCTGATGCGCGCCGATCGGGCGGAAGTTGTTCGGACATGTATTTTAAAGAACTGAACATTACAGGCTCTTGGGCAGAGGCTAAGCAAGTTGGAGGGTATCACTACAGCGTACGGCAAAACGCCGTGACGATTCCGCAATGGGTCGTTGTTGGTCCTGTCGGCTGGACCGTCGCCACGGACGCACCGAGAGTGGCATCCTTTATTGATGTGCAACGTGAAGCCGTTGGGCGATCATGATTTGGCCGGCGGAGGTCTCCTGGGAGAGGCGACCACAAAGAGTGATGACTCCCCCGCGTCTTGTACAATCGCACGATCTTTTCTAGAAGTGTGACGATGGCCAGCACCTTCCTCGGAGTCGCCAGTTGCCATCGCAAACGACCCCGGCCGCCTGCGGATTGCTGAGAAGTAATCTGGTGGTCTGGTGGCAAGCAAGTGCGCCCTTTCGGGGCGACGCATGCGTCTAGTGTTTTCCCTGTGCTTTAGGAGAATTGTCCTCTTTTACAGGGGATTCTGAGACTTTCCTTGCTGGTTCGTGCCACCTTGCCAACCAATCTCCGCGGCTGCTGGCAGCATCCCTTGTTGCCACTGATGGCCGCCGCTGTCACATGCTCCCGTTGCTCGCCGAATCGAGCTGGCATCCTTGCCAGCCGTCCTGCTCCGACCTGCAACGGCTGACAAACAATGGCTACTTCCCAGGACAGTCGGTCGCTTGCTTCAAGGTGTTGAGACCGAGGGGGCTTGCTTCCTCCGCCCTCCCTCCCCCTCCCCATCCCTTTCCTTCCCAGTTTGCATCCTGTATCCTCCTTTGACCCTCCGCATGTCCAGCTGCCTGCGCCAACCTCCGCCACCGTGCCAGCGCAGCAGCATGGCGGGACGGAGATCGAGTTTACAGCCTGTTCCAGTTCAGTGCCTTGTTGGAGCAAGCGTCGTTCTGGAGAACCTTTTTTTTCTTGGTTGTTTCCGCGGCCGTCTTTGAGACAAGGTTTGGGCATCTGAAGGTCTTCTTGGGCCGAATCGGAGCCATGTTGGGCTGTCCTGGGGCCTTCTTGCATGGCGTTTGGGCAATCTTGGGGCCGATCTTGGCAGCCTTGGGGCGGTTTGTTGCTGTCTTGGAGCTTTGTTGGGGGCCTCCTGGGCCGTTTTCGAAGGCTCTTGAGGGCCTCTTGGACTATCCTTGGGCCGTGTTGGGCCATGGTGGACCGTCCTGGGATTCTCTTGGAGGCTCTTGCGCCGTCGACTGGCCCTGTAAACACGTCTTGGTTCCGAAGGCTCTCTTGGGCCAGCCTGGGGCAGCGCCGCGCTGCCGCTCGGAGGGCCCCAGGCGAGGGAGGGGGGGCGGCCCAGAGGGCGCAACTGGAGAGCTCCGAGAAAGCATGTTCATGCAGTCGTATTGTTCCTCTATCATCCCCGCTCCTCCCGGCTCCTGGAGGAGTAGACCTTCTCTCCCCCACCCGCGCTGCAACGCGCACCTCGGGAATCAACCGTGCCGCGCGTTGGCCTCCAGACCGCCACTTGAGAATACCCTTCTTTCCTCCCCCAGTTCCTCTCGAAATATGATGGCCTGGTTGGCGCATGGTGTAATTTGCCGTCGTCCCAAGCTCTTTGTTCAAGCAGACCTGGGCATCTTCATTTTGGCTCGTATTCCACACAGCACGCGGAACTGGACCTTGGGTCATTGTCTTTCTGTGCCGTGGGATGGCGGTCCAAAAGCATTGTGGACCGTGTGTCCGCTGTCGCTTCGTGTTCTCAGTCTCAGCGTACCCACAGCAAACTCGATCGGTGTGAGTTCCACGCTGAAGTGCGCAGATGACGACGACCAAATTATTGCGCTTGCAAGCGGCATCGGCGTCAAGATTAGTGGTTGTGCTGAGGTGAAGCCTTATTGCAAAGATGCGGCGTATGGCAGCACTGTGAGTGCGACCTGCCCTGCAACGTGCGGCCTCTGCAGGGTGGCCAGCCCCAGCAGCTCCCAGGCGGCGAAGGTACTGATGGACAGGAGCTCCACGGGCTCCCGGGACGCGGATGATCAGCAGTCCTTGGACAGGTCTCTGGCGGCGAAAGGGCCTGACCCGACGCCGAGGCCGACGCCGTGGCCGACGCCGTGGCCGACGCGGTACCCGACGCCGAGGCCGACGCCGTGGCCGACGCCGTGGCCGACGCGGTACCCGACGCCGAGGCCGACGCCGTGGCCGACGCCGAAGCCGACGCCGAACCCGACGCCGAGGCCGACGCCGTGGCCGACGCCGAAGCCGACGCCGAACCCGACACCGTACCCGACGCCGTACCCGACGCCGTACCCGACGCCGAACCCGACGCCATACCCGACGCCGAAGCCGACGCCGAGCCCGACGCCGAACCCGACGCCGTACCCGACGCCGAACCCGACGCCGAGCCCGACTCCGAACCCCACGCCCACCCCTAAAACACCCCAACGGCCTACCCCACGGCTTTCCCAACGCCTTACCCCACGGCTTTCCCGACGCCTTATCCGACGGCTTTCCCGACGCCCTACCCGACGGGTTTCCCGACGGTCTACCCCACGGCTTTTCCGACTCCCTACCCGACGTCTTTCCCGACGCCCTTCCCGACGCCCAGCCCGACGCCCAGTCCGACGTATCCTCTGGGGTGGCCGACGCCAAGTCCAAACGTTTTCTTTTTCCGCAGGTTCCAGTTCCTCGGCGCCGCACGGAGGCGTGGCTGCCCAACCGCGATCCGCACCTTCAAAACGTTCACGGCGAGCGGTTCGATCTAATGAAGCCGGGCAAACATGTTCTGATAAACATCCCTCGTGGAGTGAGCGAAGATGACGCATTGCTTCGTGTGCAGGCCGATGCGCGCCGATCGGGCGGAAGTTGTTCGGACATGTATTTTAAAGAACTGAACATTACAGGCTCTTGGGCAGAGGCTAAGCAAGTTGGAGGGTATCACTACAGCGTACGGCAAAACGCCGTGACGATTCCGCAATGGGTCGTTGTTGGTCCTGTCGAGCTGAAAGTCGTCCACGGACGCACAGAGAGTGGCATCCTTTATTTGAATGTGCACGTGAAGCATTTGGGGCGATCAGGATTTGCCGTCGGAGGTCTGCTGGGGGAAGACGACCACAAAGAGGTGATGACTCCCCCAGCGTCTTGTACCAAGCGCACGTCTTTGCTAGAAGTGGTGACGAGTGGCCAGGCACCTGCCTCGGAGTCGCCAGTTGCAATCGCAACCTTCGCGTGACCATGCGGGATGCTTGAGACGTGAGTCTATGGCAAGCAAGTGCGCCCTTTCGGGCGACGCATGCGGCAGTGTTTCCCTGTGCTTAGGAGAATTGTCTCTTTTACAGGGATTCTGAGACTTCCGTGCATGGTTCGTGCCACCTTGCACCAATCTCAGCGGCTGCTTGGCAGCATCTTGTTGCCACTCCGCGCTGTCACATGCTCCCGTTGCTCGCCGAATCGAGCTGGCATCCTTGCCAGCCGTCCTGCTCCGACCTGCAACGGCTGACAAACAATGGCTACTTCCCAGGGCAGTCGGTCGCTTGCTTCAAGGTGTTGAGACCGAGGGGGCTTGCTTCCTCCGCCCTCCCACCCCATCCCTTTCCTTCCCAGTTTGCATCCTGTATCCTCCTTTGACTCTCCGCATGTCCAGCTGCCTGCGCCAACCTCCGCCACCGTGCCAGCGCAGCAGCATGGCGGGACGGAGATCGAGTTTACAGCCTGTTCCAGTTCAGTGCCTTGTTCGAGCAAGCGTCGTTCTGGAGAACCTTTTTTTCTTGGTTGTTTCCGCGGCCGTCTTTGAGACAAGGTTTGGGCATCTAAAGGTCCTCTTGGGCCGAATCGGAGCCATGTTGGGCTGTCCTGGGGCCTTCTTGCATGGCGTTTGGGCAATCTTGGGGCCGATCTTGGCAGCCTTGGGGCGGTTTGTTGCTGTCTTGGAGCTTTGTTGGGGGCCTCCTGGGCCGTTTTCGAAGGCTCTTGAGGGCCTCTTGGACTATCCTTGGGCCGTGTTGGGCCATGGTGGACCGTCCTGGGATTCTCTTGGAGGCTCTTGCGCCGTCGACTGGCCCTGTAAACACGTCTTGGTTCCGAAGGCTCTCTTGGGCCAGCCTGGGGCAGCGCCGCGCTGCCGCTCGGAGGGCCCCAGGCGAGGGAGGGGGGGCGGCCCAGAGGGCGCAACTGGAGAGCTCCGAGAAAGTATGTTCATGCAGTCGTATTGTTCCTCTATCATCCCCGCTCCTCCCGGCTCCTGGAGGAGTAGACCTTCTCTCCCCCACCCGCGCTGCAACGCGCACCTCGGGAATCAACCGTGCCGCGCGTTGGCCTCCAGACCGCCACTTGAGAATCCCTCCCCCCGTTCTCTCGAAATAATGATGGCCATGGTGGGCGCATGGTGTAATTTGGCCGTCCGTCCCAAGCATCTTGGTTCAAGCAGACCTGGAGCATCTTCCATTTTGCTCGTATTCCACACACACGCGGAAACAGTGGACCTTCGGGTCATTGTCTTTCTGTTCCGTGGGATGGCGGTCCAGAAGGCATTGTGGACCGTGTGGTCCGCTGTCGCATTCGTTCTCAGTCTCAGCGTACCCACAGCAAACTCGATCGGTGTGAGTTCCACGCTGAAGTGCGTAGATGACGACGCCCAAATTATTGCGCTTGCAAGCGGCATCGGCGTCAAGATTAGTGGTTGTGCTGAGGTGAAGCCTTATTGCAAAGATGCGGCGTATGGCAGCACTGTGAGTGCGACCTGCCCTGCAACGTGCGGCCTCTGCAGGGTGGCCAGCCCCAGCAGCTCCCAGGCAGCGAAGGTACTGATGGACAGGAGCTCCACGGGCTCCCGGGACGCGGATGATCAGCAGTCCTTGGACAGGTCTCTGGCGGCGAAAGGGCCTGACCCGACGCCGAGGCCGACGCCGTGGCCGACGCCGTGGCCGACGCGGTACCCGACGCCGAGGCCGACGCCGTGGCCGACGCCGTGGCCGACGCGGTACCCGACGCCGAGGCCGACGCCGTGGCCGACGCCGAAGCCGACGCCGAACCCTACGCCGAACCCGACGCCGTACCCGACGCCGAACCCGACTCCGAACCCGACGCCATACCCGACGCCGAAGCCGACGCCGAGCCCGACGCCGAACCCGACGCCGTACCCGACGCCGAAGCCGACGCCGAGCCCGACTCCGAACCCCACGCCCTACCCCACGCCCTACCCCACAGCTTTCCCAACGTCTTACCCCACGGCTTTCCCGACGCCTTACCCGACGGCCTTTCCGACGCCCTACCCGACGGCCTTCCCGACGGCCTACCCCACGGCTTTCCCGACTCCCTACCCGACGTCCTTCCCGACGCCCTTCCCCACGCCCAGCCCGACGCCCAGCCCGACGTATCCTCTGGGTTGGCCGACGCCAAGTCCAACGTTTCTTCCCGCAGCTCCCATGGCGGGTGGAGCCGCCGGAGGCGTGGCTGCCACCGGCGATCCGCACCTTCAAAACGTTCACGGCGAGCGGTTCGATCTAATGAAGCCGGGCAAACATGTTCTGATAAACATCCCTCGTGGAGTGAGCGTTGATGACGCATTGCTTCGTGTGCAGGCCGATGCGCGCCGATCGGGCGGAAGTTGTTCGGACATGTATTTTAAAGAACTGAACATTACAGGCTCTTGGGCAGAGGCTAAGCAAGTTGGAGGGTATCACAACAGCGTACGGCAAAACGCCGTGACGATTCCGCAATGGGTCGTTGTTGGTCCTGTCGAGCTGAAAGTCGTCCACGGACGCACAGAGAGTGGCATCCTTTATAAGCCGAGGGACATCTTCTATTTGGGCGATCCGGATTTTGCTTTGACAAACCTTGACACATTCGCTGGGGGAAGACGACCACAAGGACGCGATGACTCCCCCGGCGTCTTGTAGCAAGCACGTTCCTTTGCTAGAAGCAGTGACGAGTGGCCAGATTCCTTCCTCCGAGTCGTCGGTTGCAGCGGCAACCTTCGCGTGACCATGCTGGATACTTTGAAATGTGGGTATATGACAACATATGTCAAGTGCGCCCTTTCGGGCTACGCATGCGGCAGTGTTTTTTCTTCCTGTGCTTAGGAGAAACTTGTCTCTTTTACAGGGATTCTGAGATCTTCCGTGCATGGTTTCGTGCCACCTTGCCCAATCTCACGGCTGCTTGGCAGCATCTTGTTGCCCAACTCGGCGCTGTCATGCTCCCGTTTGGAGCGCGGCCGCGCCTGGCATCCGAGGCCAGCCGTCTGGCTCGACAGCGCAACGGGCTGACAACAATGGCTACTTTTCGCAGGACAGTCGGTCGCTTGCTTCAAGGTGTTGAGACCGAGGGGCTTGCTTCCTCCCCCTCCCTCCCCTCCCCATCCGCTTCCTTCCCAGTTTGCATCCTGTATCCTCCTTTGACCCTCCGCATGTCCAGCTGCCTGCGCCAACCTCCGCCACCGTGCCAGCGCAGCAGCATGGCGGGACGGAGATCGAGTTTACAGCTTGTTCCAGTTCAGTGCCTTGTTCGAGCACGCGTCGTTCTGGAGAACCTTTTTTTCTTGGTTGTTTCCGCGGCCGTCTTTGAGACAAGGTTTGGGCATCTGAAGGTCCTCTTGGGCCGAATCGGAGCCATGTTGGGCTGTCCTGGGGCCCTCTTGCATGGCGTTTGGGCAATCTTGGGGCCGATCTTGGCAGCCTTGGGGCGGTTTGTTGCTGTCTTGGAGCTTTGTTGGGGGCCTCCTGGGCCGTTTTCGAAGGCTCTTGAGGGCCTCTTGGACTATCCTTGGGCCGTGTTGGGCCATGGTGGGCCGTCCTGGGGTTCTCTTGGAGGCTCTTGCGCCGTCGACTGGCCCTGTAAACACGTCTTGGTTCCGAAGGCTCTCTTTGGGCCAGCCTGGGGCAGCGCCGCGCTGCCGCTCGGAGGGCCCCAGGCGAGGGAGGGGGGGCGGCCCAGAGGGCGCAATTGGAGAGCTCCGAGAAAGCATGTTCATGCAGTCGTATTGTTCCTCCATTATCCCCGCTCCTCCCGGCTCCTGGAGGAGTAGACCTTCTCTCCCCCACCCGCGCTGCAACGCGCACCTCGGGAATCAACCGTGCCGCGCGTTGGCCTCCAGACCGCCACTTGAGAGTCCCTCCCCCCGTTCTCTCGAAATAATGATGGCCATGGTGGGCGCATGGTGTAATTTGGCCGTCCGTCCCAAGCATCTTGGTTCAAGCAGACCTGGAGCATCTTCCATTTTGCTCGTATTCCACACACACGCGGAAACAGTGGAACCTTCGGGTCAATTGTCTTTCTGTTCCTGTGGGAATGTCCGGGTCCAGAAGGCAATTGTGGGACCGTGTGGTCCGCTGTCGCATTCGTTCTCAGTCTTCAGAGTACCCCAGCAAACTCGATCGTGTGAGTTCCAAACGCTGAAGTGCGCAGATGGCGACGCCCCCATTATTGCGCTGGCAAGCGGCATCGGCGTCACTATCAGTGGTTGTGCTGCGGTGCAGCCTTATTGCGAAGATGCGAAGTATGGCAGCACTGTGAAAGCGACCTGCCCTGCAACGTGTGGCCTCTGCAGGGTGGCCAGCCCCAGCAGCCCCCAGGCGGCTGAGGTGCTGATGGACAGGAGCTCCAGGGGCTCCCAGGACGCGGATGTTCAACGGTCCCTGGACAGAGCTCTGGCAGCGAAAGGGCCCGACCCGACGCCGAGGCCGACGCCGTGGCCGACGCCGTGGCCGACGCGGTACCCGACGCCGAGGCCGACGCCGTGGCCGACGCCGTGGCCGACGCGGTACCCGACGCCGAGGCCATACGCCGTGGCCACGCCGAAGCGACGCCCGAACCCGACGGCCGAACCCCGACGCCTACCCGACGCAGAACCCGGACGCCGCGCCCGACGCCGTACCCGACTCCGAAGCCGACGCCGAACCCTACGGCCGAACCCGAGCGCCGTACCCGACGCCGAAGCCGACGCCGAGCCCGACTCCGAACCCCACGCCCTATCCCACGCCCTACCCCACAGCTTTCCCAACGTCTTACCCCACGGCTTTCCCGACGCCTTACCCGACGGCCTTCCCGACGCCCTACCCGACGGCTTTCCCGACGGCCTACCCCACGCCCTACCCCACGCCCTACCCCACAGCTTTCCCAACGTCTTACCCCACGGCTTTCCCGACGCCTTACCCGACGGCCTTTCCGACGCCCTACCCGACGGCCTTCCTGACGGCCTACCCCACGGCTTTCCCGACTCCCTACCCGACGTCCTTCCCGACGCCCTTCCCCACGCCCAGCCCGACGTCCAGTCCGACGTATCCTCTGGGTTGGCCGACGCCAAGTCCAACGTTTCTTCCCGCAGCTCCCATGGCGGGTGGAGCCGCCGGAGGCGTGGCTGCCACCGGCGATCCGCACCTTCAAAACGTTCACGGCGAGCGGTTCGATTTAATGAAGCCGGGCAAACATGTTCTGATAAACATCCCTCGTGGAGTGAGCGTTGATGACGCATTGCTTCGTGTGCAGGCCGATGCGCGCCGATCGGGCGGAAGTTGTTCGGACATGTATTTTAAAGAACTTAACATTACAGGCTCTTGGGCAGAGGCTAAGCAAGTTGGAGGGTATCACTACAGCGTACGGCAAAACGCCGTGACGATTCCGCAATGGGTCGTTGTTGGTCCTGTCGAGCTGAAAGTCGTCCACGGACGCACAGAGAGTGGCATCCTTTATTTGAATGTGCACGTGAAGCATTTGGGGCGATCAGGATTTGCCGTCGGAGGTCTGCTGGGGGAAGACGACCACAAAGAGGTGATGACTCCCCCAGCGTCTTGTACCAATCGCACGTCTTTGCTAGAAGTGGTGACGAGTGGCCAGGCACCTTCCTCGGAGTCGCCAGTTGCAATCGCAACCTTCGCGTGACCATGCGGGATGCTTGAGAAGTGAGTAAATGGCAAGCAAGTGCGCCCTTTCGGGCGACGCATGCGGCAGTGTTTTCCTGTGCTTAGGAGAACTGTCTCTTTTACAGGGATTCTGAGACTTCCGTGCATGGTTCGTGCCACGTTGCACCAATCTCAGCGGCTGCCTGGCAGCATCTTGTTGCCACTCCGCGCTGTCACATGCTCCCGTTGCTCGCCGAATCGAGCTGGCACCCTTGCCAGCCGTCCTGCTCCGACCTGCAACGGCTGACAAACAATGGCTACTTCCCAGTACAGTCGGTCGCTTGCTTCAAGGTGTTGAGACCGAGGGGGCTTGCTTCCTCCGCCCTCCCTCCCCATCCCTTTCCTTCCCAGTTTGCATCCTGTATCCTCCTTTGACCCTCCGCATGTCCAGCTGCCTGCGCCAACCTCCGCCACCGTGCCAGCGCAGCAGCATGGCGGGACGGAGATCGAGTTTACAGCCTGTTCCAGTTCAGTGCCTTGTTCGAGCAAGCGTCGTTCCGGAGAACCTGTTTTTTCTTGGTTGTTTCCACGGCCGTCTTTGAGACAAGGTTTGGGCATCTGAAGGTCCTCTTGGGCCGAATCGGAGCCATGTTGGGCTGTCCTGGGGCCTTCTTGCATGGCGTTTGGGCAATCTTGGGACCGATCTTGGCAGCCTTGGGGCGGTTTGTTGCTGTCTTGGATCTTTGTTGGGGGCCTCCTGGGCCGTTTTCGAAGGCTCTTGAGGGCCTCTTGGACTATCCTTGGGCCGTGTTGGGCCATGCTGGACCGTCCTGGGGTTCTCTCGGAGGCTCTTGCGCCGTCGACTGGCCCTGTAAACACGTCTTGGTTCCGAAGGCTCTCTTGGGCCAGCCTGGGGCAGCGCCGCGCTGCCGCTCGGAGGGCCCTGTCTCTTCTACAGGGATTCTGAGACTTCCGTGCATGGTTCGTGCCACCTTGCACCAATCTCAGCGGCTGCCTGGCAGCATCTTGTTGCCACTCCGCGCTGTCACATGCTCCCGTTGCTCGCCGAATCGAGCTGGCATCCTTGCCAGCCGTCCTGCTCCGACCTGCAACGGCTGACAAACAATGGCTACTTCCCAGGACAGTCGGTCGCTTGCTTCAAGGTGTTCAGACCGAGGGGGCTTGCTTCCTCCGCCCTCCCTCCCCCTCCCCATCCCTTTCCTTCCCAGTTTGCATCCTGTATCCTCCTTTGACCCTCCGCATGTCCAGCTGCCTGCGACAACCAACGCCACCGTGCCAGCGCAGCAGCATGGCGGGACGGAGATCGAGTTTACAGCCTGTTCCAGTTCAGTGCCTTGTTCGAGCAAGCGTCGTTCTGGAGAACCTTTTTTTTCTTGGTTGTTTCCGCGGCCGTCTTTGAGACAAGGTTTGGGCATCTGAAGGTCCTCTTGGGCCGAATCGGAGCCATGTTGGGCTGTCCTGGGGCCTTCTTGCATGGCGTTTGGGCAATCTTGGGGCCGATCTTGGCAGCCTTGGGGCGGTTTGTTGCTGTCTTGGAGCTTTGTTTGGGGCCTCCTGGGCCGTTTTCGAAGGCTCTTGAGGGCCTCTTGGACTATCCTTGGGCCGTGTTGGGCCACGGTGGACCGTCCTGGGGTTCGCTCTTGCGCCGTCGACTGGCCCTGTGAACACGTCTTGGTGCCAAAGGCTCTCTTGGGCCAGCCTGGGGCAGCGCCGCGCTGCCGCGCGGAGGGCCCCAGGCGAGAGAGGGGGGGCGGCCCAGAGGGCGCACCTGGAGAGCTCCGAGAAAGCATGTTCATGCAGTCCTATTGTTCTCAGGAGGGGAGAAAACACACAGGCACACTTAATCGTCCACTCCCAGGAAAACATGGGAAGATATGGGAAGTGGGGGGGGAAGACAAAAACTCAGAAAATGTGTGAAAATGTGGGGCATCGTTTTCTTTGCGTGTATTTATTTGTGTGTGTTGTGGGCCTCTTCATGTTCCCCTATCCTCCCCGCTCCTCCCGGCTCCCGGAGGAGCAGACCCTCTCTCCCCCACCCGCACCGCAGCGCGCACCTCGGGAGTCCGCCGTGCCGCGCGTCGGCCTCCAGACCGCCGGGCGAGGGAGGGGCGGCAGCGCCAGGAGCTGCCACCAAATACACGCCGGTCGTCACAAGTGGGTAGGTATTTTTTCAAGGGCTCCCTCGAGGGCGCGAAGTTATTCGCGCTTCGCGCTTCGCGGTCCTCGTTCCTTCTCCCCCTCCTCCTCGTCCTCCTCTTCTCCCCCTTGGGGGGCGGCGCGAGAGCGCGAAGTTATTCGCGCTTCGCGCTTCGCGCAGCGCGAAGCGCGAAGTTGGGAGCCCTAGCAGAAGCTGCCACCAAATACACGCCGGTCGTCACAAGTGGGTAGGTATTTTTTTGGATTCCCAGTTCCCAGTCTTTGCAAGCGCCTTCCTGCTTCCAGAGTCGCCACACGCTTTTGCTGCGTGTTGTTGTTCCCCAAGGGGGGCCTGGGCCCAATCCTCTGCATCCGCCCTCCTGCGTCATGTTTCTACCTGCTTCTTCCGACCGACGTGTAGGCTTGAGCGTTCTTTGGCCAGCATTGTTCACGAGGCCAGCGCCAGCAGAGCATCTGGTTGATGCGCTCGTCGTTTCTCCCTCTCGCGCCGTCGCCTCCGCTGGTGTCGAGATCAACTCTTCCAGCCTCTCCCCTATCCCCCTTGAGGCCCTCAACTCTCGTGGGCTCACCAGGCCGGAAGATGCCGGGTGAACGGGGGCGCGAGGATAAGAAGGCAGGAGATGCAGCGCTTGCGTTTTACAATCGGAATGCGTTTGGTTTTGCGAGCAGTTGCAGCAGTAGTGCCAGCGTACTCGCCACCATCGATCTTCGGAAACGCGTGGGCGGGCCCAAGTGTGCATCGGACGCATCGGAAGAGGCTGCGGCTTCTTTTCTTGCGCGCGCCCCCCGCGGCAGCAGAGGCGCCAAGTGAAGCGCCCGAGCCCAGGATCCGCTCGCTGTTCGGCAGGCGCATCTCGGCACAGAAAACTACGCAGTTCAGTAGGTCGACCTTGCCAATCAAGGGTACCCGTTTGTCCTACGTTTCACGATCCGTGCCTTCTACATTTCTATGGCAATGTGGCCCTCGGAAGGGTCTTGTCTCGGTTCCAGTCGCGTGTCACACTACAAATCAGCCCAGACTGTATCCAGCCTCCTGGGTTCGACTCAGGCTTGCTTGTCTGCCGCGCGCTCCTCTCGAGCTCCCGCCTCCTCCTCCCCCTTGTCTTGATCCTCTCTCTCTCTCTCTCTCTTTTCTCCCTCCTCTTGCTCCTGCTCCTCTTCCTCCTCATCCTCCTCGTCCTCTCCTCGTCCTCTCTCGAGCTCCCGCTTCCTCCTCCCCCCTGTCTTGATCCTCTCTCTCTCTTCTCTCCCTCCTCTTGCTCCTGCTCTTCCTCCTCATCCTCCTCGTCCTCTCTCGAGCTCCCGCTTCCTCCTCCCCCTGTCTTGATCCTCTCTCTCTCTTCTCTCCCTCCTCTTGCTCCTGCTCCTCTTCCTCCTCCTCGTCCTCCTCGTCCTCTCCTCGTCCTCTCCTCGTCCTCGTCCTCATCCTCCTCCTCCTCCTCTTCCTGCGTCTCTTCCTCCTCCTCTTCCTGCTCCTCTTCCTCCTCCTCCTCCTCCTCGTCCTCTCCTCGTCCTCTCGCCTCCTCGCCTGCCCGCTCGCCCTCCGCGCGCGGGCCGGCCGCTGCGCTCTGCTGCCGCGGCCGCCCGCCCGGCCGCCCGCGGCACGAGAGAGAGCCGGCGGGCGGGCGAGGCTCGAGGAGGACGAAGGCGAGGGAGGAGGAGGAAGGCGAGGGAGGAGGAGCAGGAGGAGGAGGACGGAGGAGGAGGCTCGAGGAGGAGGAGGGGGAGGAGGGGGAGGAGGAGGAGGAGGGGGAGGAGGAGGAGGAGGGGGAGGAGGAGGAGGGGGAGTAGAGGAGATGGAGGAGGGAGGTCGTAGGGAAGACAGGAGGAGGAGGGGGAGGGGGAGAAGGAGGAGAGGGGGAGGAGGAGGAGGAGGAGAGGAGTTAGGAGGAGGAGGAACGACGACGAAGGCGAGGGAGAGCAGAGGGAGGAGGAGGACGGAGGGGAGGGTGAGGAATGGAACATTGGAACGGGGCCAATGATTAGTCGGGGGTGGACAGAACCCCCAACAGTGACACGTCGATGAGTGAGTTGTCCGTGTTCGGTTCTCGAGAGGGCGCCGTGGCCGTCATTTTCCAGGCTTGCGCCCACCAGGTTTGGGCCTCAGGTCGTTTTCGCTGAATCACGTTTTACTAAAGGGAGGTCTGTCAATCCCCGAATTAAGCCGCGAAAGAAACCAAGCCGGAGGAGTCGAGGTGAACAGGCGGAGCAGGAGGAGGAGCAAAAAGGACGGTGATGAGGAAGGGGAGGAGGAGGAAGAGGAGGGAGGAGGATGAGGAGGAGGAGGAGGGATCGAGGAGGAGGGGGCCCCCCCGCGGCGTCGTCGAGGGATTCGAGGACGAGTATGCCCCTGGGCGGCCGCGGCAAGGGCCGAATATGCACGAGGGAGGGGGAGATCTCAACACTTGCGGGTCAGAGCGAGGGATCGAATGTTTACTCCAGATTTCGTAATAAAAGGGAGGGGGTCTGGACCCTCCAAAACAAGCCATTTCAGACCTCCCCCGTGAGCTACCCTACACGAGCACTTAAAACTTTTAAGTTTCATAAAGCGCTTGTAAATAAAATTCAATACATTTGAATATTCAGATTTGTTGGTTTATCCTCCCTTCCTCTTCTCTTTATCCTTTTCATTTATTATCGAGGGATTTGTCGAGGATGTCTCCAGCGAGATAAGCCATTGTTGAGGATATTTCTATGAAGACTAAACGCCAAGGATGTCTCAACACGTGCTCGGCTTGGTCTCCTCTTGATCATCTCTTACTTCGAGATTATGCTGAGGTCTGGTGGGCTACTTTGAGTATCCCCCCCTGAACCCCGAACTTTATTATCCCCTAGTGTGTATTCTCGAAGGTATTCGGTTAGGCTAACAACGTCAACACCCACGCTGACAACAGCAACAACAATAGCACTACGAATACTACAAATACAGCAATACCATTAGCAGCATCAGCAACAATAGCATCGTAGCCATTTGGGCTTTAGGAGGCAAGCTTCTGCTGGCGCCGCTTTCGTCGGCTGACACCAGTCTTTGCCACAATATCTACTGGCGCAGAGCGCGCTTGGTGTGCGCGAGATGGCGCTCGCGCGCGTGCCGCAAAAAGGGTGGGGGGGGGGGTAGCACGCTGCGCGGGAGGAGCTGCCCATGCCCGATATCAGGAGCGAGCGTCGGCAGAGGCACGCGGAGATGCTTCTGGGCTCGAGCTGCAAAGGTCTGCGCGAACGAAATGGGCACGGAAAGAATGGGCACAGTGCCCAACAGCGGATCCAGTTCACTTTGAACAGGGCTCGTTGTCCACGCTTCCGCAAGCTGTGTCCTTTCGATACAGAAGGCCGCCTGCCCAACAGCGGCCGCTGTTGGTTTGAGACACCATTGGTGGTTGGGCATTGTACCCATTTTTTCCGCCCCCAGTTCGGGCGTCCAAGAAATGGCAGTGTTCAGGGACTACCTGCTGGACCCAGAGAACCCCGACGTCAGGATGCCGTTCTTCAGCGGCGGCAGGCAAGAAGCATCTGACCGCCACGAGACGAGCAACGGGAACTTCGCAGCTCACCGCGAGAGTTTGGTCAGGAGGACCGTGAGGAAGGGCCTGATGGAAGACGTCAGGGGCGAGGCGTGGGGAATCCCCGACCGTGGCGACGGCGTGCCGCCTAACCCCGCCAACTTTGAGTCGGGGGAAAAGGGGGGTATACATATTCGGTCGACGTGATTTGACGACGAGTTGTCTTGGCGCGACAAGTGTGGACACTTTTTGTCGCACCGTAGGTCCCTTTCCGCCCCGAACATCGAAAGGCAACATATCCACTTGCTCAGGCACGCCACCTTGGGAGAAGCAATCTACGGCGGGGTTTCCCGCGAGCTTGGCAACCGGTTCCTGAAGGCAACGCTTGGCAACGGTCTGAGGGTTCCACCCGCTCACCCGGAGCTGCATCTGCAGAGGCCTGAAAGAGATCCACGACTCAAGAGAAAAGTCGGCGGGGGTGTAAATTTGGGGGGTTCGATCAGTAGCCGTTCAGGGATGTGTGCGTCTCTAATTTGATGGATTTTGATGGAGAAACTTTGGTTGTGATGGATATCGCTTGGGTTTTGATGGTTATGAGGGTGCTGATGATGATGATGATGGCGATGTTGATGGCATTGATGAAAATGATGGTGGTGCTGATGATGATGATGGTGTTGACGGTGGTGATGCGGATAACGGTGATGACGATGATATTGATGATGATGATGATGATGGGGCTGAGGCAATGATGAGGTGATGGCAATGGTAAGGGTGACAAATATTCCATATCCTCATGTGGTTGGGGTCTCGCTTGGACTAGAGCACTGGTTGGTCGTTCTCCTCACCACCTCCTCCTCCTCCTCCTCCTCCTCCTCCTCCTCCTCCTCCTCCTCCTCCTCCTCCCCCTCCTCCGCCTCCTCCTCCTCCTCCTCTGGTACTTTAGGCTCACACCCTTCGCTGGCCGCCTCCCCGAGCGCGCGCCGCCGCTGGGCCGCTGCCGGGCACGCAGAAGGGTGCCAGTTCGGCGGCGCTGGAGGCCACGCGCGGGGCGCTGCTGGCCGTTTATGCGGCTGCTGGGCTCGCGTCCGCCTCGGGGCGGCGGCCCGCAGCGCGCTGGTTGCGCGTGGCGGAGGGCCTGCTCCGCACGGCGGTGGCTCAGCTTGGCGCGCCGACCGCCGACCCTGAGCCAGAGGCCGATGCGGGCCCCCCGACGGCGCCGCGACGCCGTCGCCCGCGCGGACGTGACCGAGGGCATGGCGGGGGCGATGCGAGCCCAGATGACGACGTCGTCGCGATGGGGCAGTACGAGGAGGGGGCGGCTGGCGCGGCGGTGGCAGGCGGGGCTGCGGTCGACGACCAGCCGATGCTGTCCGACGAGTGGGCGGATGCGTTCCCTGTGCAGCGCTGGCGTCCTGCGGGCGGCACGGGCCGCGGCAAGGGCAAAGACGAGGACAAGGGCACGAATGACGCGGACCAGGACGAGTACAAGGACACGGACTCCCTGTCGGAGCTCCGCACGAAGGTCGCGCGCCTCCGGAAGGTCGTGGGCCTGCCCCCAGGGGCGGAGGACGCCTCAGGCAATCCCTTGTGCCTGAAGGCCATCATCGACAAACTTCTCGCCTTCAAGAAGGCTGGGATCATGGTTGGTGCGCCGCGGCAGAGCAGTGGCACGGGATGAAGTTGCCTTTCCTCATCCTGTCAAGGGGTCGGCATCGGTAAGTCCGACTCGCCCGTCGTCGCTTGTGCTTCGACACGTTCATCGTGCTGCTGGGCGCCCTCGCGGAGCCGCTGTAGCTGCCCACGGAGCCCCGTGAGTTGGGCCCGCGGCGACGCGCCACGAGGCAGGACCGCCGCTCTCGGCGTCGCTTTCTCTCTCTCTCTCTCTCTCTCTCCTCTTCCTCTTCTTCCGCATCCTCCCCCCCCCCCCTCCTCCC